ATCAACATCATTCTAGAAATTGTAGCCAGAAATAAGGAAAGAAAAAGAAATAAAAATCATACCGATTATAAAGTAATAAGAAAAACTGCTTCTATTCACAGACAGGATGGTTGTTCACATGAAAATTCCTGAGGAATCTATGAAAAAAAGTTCTTAGAACTAACACATGAATTAGTTCAGGTCATGGGATAGAAGTACAATACAACAACCAATTGTATGTTTCTGTACTACAATGAATAACTTCATAAATTGAAGTTGTGAAAGTTGTACAAAAAAGCATGAAATATTTAGGTATAAATATTACAAAATATGTGCAGATCTATATATTGAAATTTAAAAAACAAAAATAAATCTAAAAAAAGAAGAGATATACCTTGTTCATAATTTTAAGAACAGTTGTTTATGACATTTTCCTTAATCTAAAGATTTAGCAGGATTCCAATTAAAATGCAAACAAGTTTTTTTTTTTTTTTTGTGGGACCCTCATGGGCGGCCAGGGAACGAACCGGTGCTGCAGAGGCTGTGGGCAGCCTCGCAGCCCAGCGCTCACCCGCTGCGCCACCAGGGGAGGCCCCAAACAAGATTTTTTTGTACAAATTAACAAATTGATTCTAAAATGTGTCTAGAAAGGCAAAAGAACTAGAATATCAAAAAGCCTTTTGAAAAAGAATAAGGTTGGAGAACTCACACTACCTGATTTTAAGACTTTTAAAGCTACACTAATGAGGGCCTCCCTGGTGGCGCAAGTGGTTAAGACGCAACCTGCGAAGCTGTCCACAGCCACTGCAACTCGAGTTCGATCCCCAGCCACAGAGCTACCCACATGGCGCAGCAGACCTCTCCTGACTTGCCTGCTGCTCCCCTGAGCAGTGTATTTCAGTCAATCTTCGTGTTCTGTTTCCTGCTCTGTCTCTGGTGAATCCTCTCACCCCCTGCACGTCTGGCCCGTACCCCAGTTCTTGTATGCATAAATAAATCTTTTCATAAAAAAGGCTACACTGGGGCCTCCCCTGGTGGCGCAGCGGTTGAGTGCTGGGCTGCAAAGCTGCCTGCAGTCTCTGCAGCGCCGGTTTGATCCCCGGCTGCCGGTGAGGGTTCCACATGGCGCGGCAGACCTCTCCTGTCTTGCCCGCTGCTCCCCTCAGCAGTGTACTTCGGTCCTTCTGCCTGTTCTGCTCCCAGCTCTGGCTCTGGTGAATCCTCTCACCCTCCCGCGCTTCTGACTGTACCCCGTGCTTGTATAATAAATAAATAAATCTTTAAAAAAAAAAAAGAAAGAAAGGACAAGCTACCAATTAGGACAACATTTTTGTAAATTATATAACTGAAAAGGCATTTGTATTCAGAATATATAAAGACTTCTCAAAACTTTATGTTAAGGAGACAAATAACCTACTATTAAAAAACCGAGAAAAGATTTGAACTTGACCAAAAATGTTACATGGATGGCAAAGAAGCACAGGAAAGGAAGATCAACAACATTAGTCACTATAAATGCAAAGGAAATCAAAGAGATACTAATACATACTTACTGTAATGGAAAAGCCAAACAAAAAACTGACACTGGAAAGGACTACTGTAAAGGACGTGGAGCAACTGGCACCACTGATACTGCTGATAGGAATGCAAAATGATACATCCATTTTGGAAGGATGGCACTTTGTAAGGAAGGCACTTTGTGAGTTCCTTACAAAGTCAAACATACTTAGCATGCAACCCAGCAATCACACTCCTTTTACTAATTGCAATGAAAACTTATCATTACACAAAACCTGTACGTAATGTTTCTAGTAACTTTATTCAGAATGACCCCTGACCTGGAAACATCTGGAATGTCACTCACTGATTGGCCGAAGGAAATCAGAGCACCAAGAGAACAAAGATAAGGAAGAGCAGGGGCCACACACCACTGGAATCAGAACAGCAGCAGTTGGGGTGTCTTCACTTCAGAAGAGGTCACTAACTCAGGTCCAGCAATTCCCAGGCTATGGACTTGCTTCTGAGTTTCAAATCCCTGGCAGAGACTGAGACCGAGCCAATTTAAGTTGGATGTCTTCCTCTGGATCAGTTGGTAGCAGCTGGGGGCAAGCTGCCCAAGTCTACAAAGGCCATTGGCATTATCCCTGTGCAGTGGAGCCACTCAGCAAAAAGGAGTGGTGTGTTAGATAGTTGTGTATTGGGTATTGACCCAAGAGATGTGTAAGCAGAAAGGGTGTGCTGATTCCCTTCCACTGGAGGTCACTGTCAGAGGATGAAGAAGACCTAACAGGATTCAGTGGCATTCTGATTACTTTTTCCACCATAGCTACTTTAATATCCCAGCAGGTTTTTGTCTAAGGCCTAAGAAAAATTACCCTCATCCTCATGTTTAAATTTAAAACTGTTATTTATCCTACTGACAAAAGATTGTACACACGTTCAGTCCTTCAGGTACAAGATAATACCCCCAAGGCTTTGCTTACTTGCTTACTACCCTACTCATGCTTATTACCCTCTTCAAAGACTTGTAGCGTCTCCATTTATCTACTGTATTACAACATCTAAGCATTAAAAATCTCTTATCAAATAGCCCTCTCTGTCTTTCCCAACTTCTGTTTTATTAAACATTTGTTGAACAGACAATGTTCTCTCTTTTCTAGACACTAATATGGATGAGCATATTTGGCAATCTTTTTGATAAGAACTTATGGGTACAATAGGATCAAATATCTGAACTTAGATCAGCCCAGAATATTTGTGGCATATAACTAAAGGACACACACAAAAGAGTTGAAAACACAGTCTTCTCTCTCTTGCAGAGGCAGTTCTACATGGTAAGGATACTCTCCAGCAATCTTTGACTCCATCCACTCAGCGTTCTGGTTGTCCCTATTTTGCAGACTTATTTTGCTTACTCTCACTTTTTTTGATATCTTGTGCCTCATTATTCTATTTTGTGTCCCCCACTTAAGGAGATGAGGTAAACCATCTTCAAAAAGTTTGCCCTTACTAACCTCCCTATATTCCAAACAACGCTTCTAACATAGCGAAAACATATTATCTGAATATGAGAACTTTGCTGTATTTTTTAAAAGGAATTTGATAAATTTGTATACTGTTTATAATACATAATAGCAACAATAAGTTAAGTGATAAATTTTGTATTTTCCTTGACTCAAGCACTTCCCTTCAGGAAGTAATCTGTCTCTCCTTGGAACTTCCATTGCATTGCATTTCTCTATTGAGCACAATTCATTTTCTGTTCTTTATGATGGTTCTCTGTCCATGCTTATTTCCTCTGTAAAACTGCAGCTCCTTGAGAGAAAGTACTGTGTCTTCACTCTTATTTGTACCACTTCTAGCTCTTAGCACAATGCCTGGCGTATACAGGTACATAATACACATTTTTTTTTTTTTGAATGAAGGAATTAACCAACAGGGATTTCTATGAAGACATTATGACAACTTCCTCTTCCAAATAAGCTTGTGGAACAGCCTAGAAACAAAATAATTCCAGAAAAAGGCTCAGCGAATGCAATCAGTGAAACTGTTGATCTGATGTAATTCTAAAAAAAGGTTAGGGGCCCCAAGGCTACATGGAAAGCTGTCTGTTCATTTCTGTTAGTTTCACAAGTAAAAGAAGAATAATGGTTCCTGAGAAATAGGTACTATTTTAGAACTGTATATATTAATGGTTAGCAGCTTCTCCTTTCTCAGTGGCAGTACAGTAAAAATGATTAAGAACTTGGAGCCTGAAATCAAAACACCTGATTCACCCCCACAACATATTATTTATGTTTCTCATTTCATCACTGCAAAATGTAGTACAGTCCCTCCAAGGGATGGTGTGAAACATCAATGACCAGACATTTTAAAGTATTTCGAATAGTACCCGGCATTCTGTTTCAAGGTAATATCTATATATACTACTTATTTACCTTATATTCCCTTACCTTAACTTCCAGGATATCAAAGACAAAAACGAGATTTTTGTTAAATACCCTATGGTGCATAACAAATAATACCGTAGATGCTCAAAAAATGATGATGTAAATTGCATTTGAGATACAGAAACTGAATGCACAAGAAAATGAAGATAATATTAAAAGTATAAACTAAAGTGTTCTTGTGCTGTCATTGGCATACCCCGCGTTACTTCTTTATAATTAGCCGTTAGATGCTTTATTACTTGATCTTTTTCTTGTCCTCTTCCGAGCATGTAGCTTGGTAATGCACATTACAGCCCTCAGAACTGCTGGCGTCCTGACAAGCTGGCAGTTTGGTTATCTGAGGGATGCGGCTGCTGCAGCAAAAAGTGGGTTGCATTACAGTATTGCTTTGCTGCTGGGGATAAAAGGCCAACAATTTAAGAAAACAGAGCACAGGGAGCGTCAGGTCAGCTGAGCACTTGGTGAAGGTCCGTCTGGGCGCTCGCGAGGCCCGGGGTGCCGACGAAGGTGAGGCACAGCGCTGGGGCTGCGGCCCCGAGGCCCGAGCGGCCGGCAGGGCGGGGTGGGCGAGGGGCCCCAGCCCGGCGCGGGGAGAGTCCTCGCGCCCCCTCCCCAGGCAGGTGCCGGCGGGCGGGAGCCGGAGCGGACGCGCCCCCGCGGCGCCCCCTCCCGGGTCGCCTCCTCCAGGGGGCCCCGACCTTGCTCGCCGCGAACGGCCGGGCGGGCGCCGTCCCCGCGCCGCAGAGCCGGTGCCTGTCGGGGGCGCCCCGCGCCCCGCGCCCCGGCCGGCGGCCCGTCCGCACCCGGCGCGCCCGCGCCCCCGGGGCCCCGTCCTCCGCGCCGCGCGCCCCGGCCCCCGCGCGGTCGCCGGCAGCGCCGCGAGGCCGCGCCCGGGAGGGAGGGGGCGGGGCGGGCGCCCCCACCCGCGAGGTCGTCCCGGCGGGCGCACGCGCGGGGCCGCGCGGGGAGGGCGCTCGGGGCGCGCCGCCGCCTCAGCCCGCCGCGCCGCCCGCGCCGCCCGCTCCCGGCGCCCGGCCCGCGCCCGCGCCACCAGGCCGGCGGGGCCCGCGGTGTAGACCCCCAGCCCCGGACCCGCGTCCCCACGGTCCCGGTAAGCGGGGGCGGGGCGGGGCGGGGGCGGCGGGGCCCTCGGGGGCGGGTCTGCGGGCCGCGACTCCCCGCCGGGGGCGCTGAGGCGGTGTGTGGGCGCCGCCCCCCGGGGCTGCCTGTCGGCGGAGACGCCCGCGACGCTGCGTTTGCTGCCGCGGGGAGACCCTGTGTGGCGGGTCCGCGGAGAGGCCGTCTGTGACTGTGGGCTCCGGAGTCCCTCAGCGGGAGCGCACTGGGGAACGCGCGGGAGCCTCAGAAGCTTGCGCGGTGGGGGTGGACCCCCCGGATCACCCCTGTTAAGGGAGGGTCTGATAAAGTGCCCTGGAACTGCTGAGGAGAGAGGAGTCTCCCTTGGGATCAGGCCAGGAGTAACTTCTCCTCAGGGCTTACTGCGCCCTAACTTGTCTCCCTCCCGCAGGGTGGAGAGGCAGGGACTCGGGGGGCCTCTGTCCACCGGCACCCCTCACCCCCAGCTGGGGCTTTCTTCTCCGCGGTGGGCCACTGCGCTCCAGATGGGATTTTCACGAGGCAGGAACTTCTGCTAGAGCACAGGGCGCAGGCGAGGGGAGGGCCAGGGAGACATCTGCGGCAGAGGTTTGAACCCCTGCAAGACATCAGTAGAACAGGTGGAATACCTGCCCGTGGCAGGTGCTGACAGGAGAGTCTTTTGAAGGAAGAGAGCATGTGTGGGGTTATTGAGCATCCGTGTGCCCAGGACTGTACCAGGGATGTTTCGCCTCTTACATAATTCTTACAATAGCCTCATGAAACGATTCCCACTTAATCATTAGGCATTTTGCCCTCAGAGAAGCCTGGCAGTTTGCCTGTGGTCACAAAGCTCGGAATCATGAGATTTGTTTTGAGAAGTTTATTTGGGAAAAAGTATCAAGGAGAGGCAAAAGCAAGAATGTATATTTGTTAATAAGTTGCATTATGGCACCACGCCCAGGGCTTTGCAATAGTCTTTGCTCAGTCAGTGTGATTGAATGAGTGAGTGAGGGCAGTGTGGGAATGAGACTTTGCAAGATCTGATTTTCACTGAATGCCCTGAGTTCAGGGTGTGGCCTCCTTCCCTGGCAGCCCCACGGTGATCTTGCTTCTGGATGGCTCCAGACTTATGGGGTCTGGGAGAGGCCTCTGGGTGTGGTCTTTGATCTGACTTGCTCTGGGGAACTAAAGGAGTCCTTCAAAGGATGGGTGTTGGGAGACCACCCTCCCTGCTGCAGAATCCTTGAGGGAAAGGAAGGGCAGGATCGCTTTTAGGAAGCTTGATCCACACTGTCCTCTGATTACATGCACCAGCAGACGCTGCTCTGCAGATAGCAGTCAGGACACTTCTACCCAATAGTACCTCTCCACGAGAAGGAGGAGGCAGAAGTGGTGCCCAGCCAAGCAAGGCTTACTGGGAGAATGCTGTCTGGGGATTGTAAAGGTTCTGCTCCTGATGCACCCTCATCTCTCATAGAACTTTCACTCCACTCGAATCCCGAAGGTGTGAATTTGGAACCAAAGATAGACTGATTTCTTGTCCAAAAATGTAATGGTGAAAGGAGCTAAGCCATGGAATTCACCGCAGAGCTTTCCTGGGAGAGGTTTCCTGTTCCCCTTCCTGCCTTCTTCCACACATCCAAACGCAGTAACGTCCTTCTTTAATAGAAGTGGTTTCCTTGAGCTCCTGGGATTATATAGTGAGAATAGAAAACAGGCTTGTGAGAAAAGCAGAACAACTCAGTTTACCAGTTGTTAGCTTTTCTTTTAACTGGATGGCTGCCTGAAGCTTGGGTGTGGTGCCCACAGCTTAATAGAGAAAACTCTGACAAAGGTTTATATTGGTTAAGCAGCTCCCCATTAGAGTTGTTTATAAGCCCCTTTCAGTTCAAACCCCTCTTATTGGTTTAACACAGCAAAATAAACAGGGATTTTTTTTTTTTTAACAAGAAAATCAGAAGGAGCAAGCCTGCACATACGATCTTTACTCTAATTCAGAGATTTGTCGTTGGTATTTTATTCTTAAACTAATCTTTTTACTGAGAGCTCCTGGTTTCGCACTTGCTCATGACCCTTGAAAAATTGCCGGATGACCACAGGTGCCTCCCAAATACTGGACCTTGGATGTCACACTTCCTTGATGTCTAGTATTGGGTAAACATTAAGATTAGGAAACCCTGACAGTGCTATCTCTGTCCTCATTACGATATGCACTACAAGTAAAATCATTTTAGAATAGGTGTAAAGGATGTTACCAAGTGGCCTTGTTGGCTCAAATAATTTTTTTTTCTCCAAAGGGAAATAAATGGGAAGAGGATGTCTCACCAGATTTTATTTGTGTGTATACAAATATCTCTGGATTTTACTGTCTGGATTCTTCAGCATTTGATCTTACACATCTACTTTGACCACATTCTTATGGTTTTCTTCCTTCCACATTTGCCATCTTTTTGACAGTACTTCCTTTTCCTTGACAGAAATGGTAGGACCTTCCCAGGCCCTATTCCTTCCCCCCCCCCCTCCCAGTTCACCTACTCCGAAGTGGATAATATTTCTGCAAATACTTTTCTTTTCTCTTTAGCTACAGAATCTATAATTTTCCAGTCCCACATGCTTTTCTCCACAAGCATACCCCAAGTGGCACTCTTGATTTCTGCTCTCTTCATTTCTCAAGTTGATTTATTCATTTTGCTGGGGATACCATTATCCACTCCACCCCTCAATGTGAATGACCAAGTACTCACGGTAAGTGCTTACTAGCTTTGGACAAGAAACCAAACCATCACTGTCCAGCTGGAGACATGATTTTTTTTTTTCCATTATAACATCCCCCTTCATCCTTCCTCCCCTTCCTGCAATCCTCTCAGAGACCCACATTTACTAAGTGCTACCTGCTTGCCAGGCACGATGCTAGATAAATATGAGTGTTCCTTGCCCTTGAGGAATTCACATAGAATCAGTTTGAACTTCTCTCATAATTTACTGTAAACAGTAAGAAAAGTAAGGGGGGAATCACAGCTTTATAAAGTATCTGCAGGAATCAAAGTTGAGTATGCCTTTTCCCAGGCATCCCTGAAACACAACTGTTGTTCTGTGCCTTTAACATTTTTAGCCCCCTTGCCTTTGCCTTGCCAAAATTACTTTTGCCCATATGCTTTGAGTGAGCTGGCCACACTCTTGGCTTCCTATCATAATAATGACAGCACCTTATATATCTGGGTAACATGCTACAATTTACAAAACCCTTTACATAACTGATCTCTCTTTGGTTTTGGAGAAATGATTCATCCCACTGGGGTCTTCTCACTAAAACAACAGTGTATTGACGACTGGCTGACTCTTGTCCTCTTGCTGACTTTTCTCTCTCCCCTCACCCTCCCCTCTCCTTATCAGACTTATGGGTCTCCCAGAGGGAAACCCCCAGGGATTCACTACAGTCACCACCTACCAGCTCTTACACCCTGGAGAAAAGTTTTCAGTTGGATCCAAAGGCCAAGCAGTGCACTCGCTGGTCAGCCTTGGGATTATGAGCACGATGCTATTTCCTGACTTCAGAAAATCCATGTCTATCTTGGTTTTTCCCTCCCTGGAATTGAAACTCATATTCCCTTCTAAGCAAATATTTTAAGTATACGATCTCAAACCAGTTCTTGGGACTTGTTTGAAAACAGGTTTCCTCCCCTGTCTCCATCCAGCACCAGGCTAGCTTTATAGCATGTAAACTGTGCTCGAGTCCCCATATAGCTCCATGTCTTGGCATGTGCTTTTACCTCTTCCTGGAATGCCTTCTCACCCCCCTCCCCTTATCCACGGGGGTAACTCCCACTCATATTTCAAAATTTAGCTCAAGCAACACTTTTTTTTTTTAATCCTACACTTATGCCCTCTACAAATGCATATACTCATACTGCATTCTCACAGGCTGAGTGAGGTTCCATTTTTCATTCTATCAACAGTTATTAAGCACCTGATTTGTGCCTGACACATAGTAGGCCGCACTCAGCAAGTGTAGAATCAACAAGCAAGTAAATCTTGATAATTAAGATGTAATGAGTGCATTAAATAGACTGAATCTGTGCTTCAGGGACCCAGAGCAGAGAGCAGGGAGTGCCTCTCCATCTTGCTGGAAAGCTCTGCTTGCTAAGTGCAGTCACACCAGCCAATCACGGAGGGTGTAATGTCCCTTAACTGTTGCTCTGCTTCTGTGGGAAGTCAGCATTGTAGCTTCTCATGAAGATTCAGCCGGGCCTCCAGAGGCTAAAGATCATGCCATAATTTTGTACTCATGTATAGTAGAGCTTTGTGGGCTTTCAGTAAGTATTAAATAACAGCAGGACCTCCCTCATGCCTCCTTCTATTGAGCTGAGTCCAGGAAGACAGTTTTACTCATCTTTAGCCTTTCTGCTTGGAAACCCCAAAAGAGCCCTGTGCAGTTGGAGTGACTGTGTCTTCTTGGGCTGCCTGAAACCACTGGTGCCGAATAAATAGGAGAGAATGGAGAAAGAGCAGGAGGTACCAGGTAGACCCCTCAGGGCCTCTAGACATTAGCACTAAAAGTAGTCTGTCAGCTACTGCTGGGAAACAGAACGACTAGGAAAAGACTTCAGCCTCCAAGAGCACTTTGGTGAGATGCTGGATACCTGAGCAACATCCATCTCTGGAGAACGGCCAGACCCTCTCAGGCTTGGATTTCCTTAAAGATCAGCAGAGGGTAAGGAGGTTCTTTTGGATGGTTTTGTGTACAGTCTCAAGATTGATGTTGATGTGCACAGTGTGCTGAGGGGCTCTGCTAGGCTCAGTGAGCTGAGGTCTGCATTTTGTTAGATCCTGGCTCTGCTGGTTTTCCATACCCTTGTGGCTGGTCAGCTTCTACCTTAGGCTTTCCCTGAGGCTCTCCATCTCTCTTGCATATGCTTCCTGGAGCTAATTGTCAACTACCTTGAAAATTTTTTATCCTTTGTGCAGATGTTGCTCCACTAAATTTCTCCCGCTCAAACCAAGGAGACAAGAGAT